TAATCACTTAACTGTATAAGAAAATACCTATTAATGACCAATTTGGAGCCTTGTGAAATATTTTTTTTGGTGAATTATGACATCTCTTTTGCATTTGTGTACATAGGATAAATTCAGCTCCTGGGGAACATAGGTGTCCTACTGTGAATCTATTGCAGTTTCTACTCTATGGATGTGCCCAGCACCAGCCTCTCAGAGCCTTTCTCTCTTTTTTAAAAAAAATTTATTTTTATTGTTGAAAGTATTACAGATGTCTCCCCCTCTCCCTTTTTTTTGGTTAACCCTCACCCTAGGATATTTTTTCTATTGATTTTTAGAGAGAGTGAAAGGAAGGGGGAGAGACAGAGAGAGAGAAACATCAATTGGTTGCTTCCTGTACACGCCCCAACCAGGGCTGAGGACTGAGTCTGCAGCTGAGGTACATGTCCTTGACTGGAATGGAACCCGCCAACCTTCAGTCTGCCGGCCGAAGCTCTAATCACTGAGCCAAACCGGCTAGGGCCAGATGTCCCCTTTCTGGTTGATCTCTTACCTCCCCTCCTCAGTCTGTTCCATGCTTCCATGTCTCTGGATCTATTTTGTTTGTCAGTTTATTTTGTTTATTAGATTCCACATATAAGTGAGAACATGTGATACTTGTCTTTCTCTGACTGACTTATTTCACTTAGTATAATACTCATCAAAGGGTAAGAGATCCTTTTTTATAGCTGCATAGTATTCCATAGTGTAAATGTACCACATTTTTTTTTAAACCATTCATCTACCGATTGGCACTTGGGCTGTTTCTAGCCTTTCTTGATTGCTTCATCCTCTACCTCCTTTACTTCTTTTTTTTTTTTTTTTAAATATATTTTATTGATTTTTTTACAGAGAGGAAGGGAGAGGGATAGAGAGCCAGAAACATCGATGAGAGAGAAACATCAATCAGCTGCCTCCTGCACACCCCCCACTGGGGATGTGCCTGCAACCAAGGTACATGCCCTTGATCAGAATCGAACCCGGGACCCTTTAGTCCACAGGCTGACGCTCTATCCACTGAGCCAAACCGGTCAGGGCCCTCCTTTACGTCTTACCTGGTCTTCATGGATGACCTTTCTGCCCTCTCCCACTACATTATAAGCTCCTTGAGCAGCAGAGATTGTGTGCCAGGGCCTGGAGCCCAGGAGGAGCAGCAGATTGGTAAATGAATCCCATACTTTCAAAAACAGACAATTAGGAAGATTCTGAATCTTCCAAATACATTTAAGGTTTTAGATCCTTTATAGTATGGAAAACAGAAACATAAGAAATTGATAATTTGTTTTGCTGATTATCACAGATTCTTCTCAGTCTTTCATTCCATTTGTTAGCTCATGTGTGATTTTGTTTCTAAGGATGTCAGTTGACATTCTGAAGGGAATAGGAATCATGAGTTTGCTGGTGATGAGGCTATCCTTGCCATGTAAGCATCTTCATGATCCCTGGATTTAGCCTCCACAGGGCCAAGGAGCTGCATCTGTCCAATGGCCAAAGACACAACCTTAGAAGGATGATTTTGAGAACAGAAATAAGACTTAGCTTTTTAAGACTTATTTTAGAAGACCTACTCATTTCCAGAGAAATAGTATTTCTCCTCAACTCAGAAATGTGTTAACCCTAAAATAATCATTGACTTGAAGTACCTAGTACCAGCTTTTATCACTCATTAATGCCATATTACCTTAACTGGTTTAGATATAGGGGAAATTGTTACTTTAAAGCCAAATGGACCAATTTTATAGCACTAAATATGTATAAAGTATTTTAAAAAAAATATGTTTTATTGATTTTTTTACAGAGAGGAAGGGAGAGAGATAGAGAGTTAGAAACATCGATGAGAGAGAAACATCGACCAGCTGCCTCCCGCACATCCCCCACTGGGGATGTGCCCGCAACCCAGGTACATGCCCCTGACCGGAATCGAACCCGGGACCCTTCAGTCCGCAGGCCGACGCTCCATCCACTGAGCCAAACCGGCTTCGGCTAAAGTATTTTTATATTCATTTGCTTATAAGATAATATTTAGCTTGGTTCTTTTATAAGTAACATCTTGCTGAAAAATGGAAACTGATATTAACTGCATTTTAATTTAGATTTTGTATTAAGCCATGTAACATAGTATTATGTAATTGGTTTTTCAGATTATGGTATTTGAGTAAAGTATGTATTTCTTCTAATGAAATCCTCATTTGGCTATTATACTTGCTATTGGATAAACATACATTAATTTTACATGAAAAACATTCATTATATCAACACATTTATTTTTTAAATACATGCAACTTTTCCTTCATTAAATTATTAAAACAAGTTTCGAAAAAGGAGACATATGTAATACTTTCAACAATAAAGATTCAATTAAAAAAACAAGTTTTATTTAAAAAATAAGAAACTTATAATGAGACCATGTCATAACTCTAAGACTGCATTTATTCTGGACTGTAATTAAGAATGGGTTCTGCTGGTAAATGTTGGGAAGAGGCAGAGAAGAAAGTTACAATACATTGCCTATTTACAAATTAACCATTACCTGCCAAAAGCACATCAGACCCAACAACGGACATCCGCTAATCCAGTGGTTAGCCGTTCCGGGCTCTAATGCACACTGTTTTACACGTTAACGGTTTTGAAGTTCTAGCCAAAGCTGACCTTTCACATGTGCTCCTTTCACAGTAGGAATCTCCACTCACTGCTTCCTGTCAGAATGGATTATGGTGACACAGCCCAGGGCTCACTTTGGCTGCAATTAAGTTTTTGATCAGAATTATTTTGTTCACAAACAATCACATTTGTTAAAATGTTACATCTGCCCTGAAAGCCACTGGCAGCCTCTCAGTTTATCAGTGTGATGTGAGTTTAATTCTTCATTTGTTTTTCATAAAATGGTAAACCATCTTATATATGTTATTTAATATTTTTCTTTTGCTGGTTTCTGCCTTTCATTTCTTTGGGTTTGGAAGGAAACTATGTCTCAAAAGTAGTACGAATCTGAGTACGAATCTACTCATAGACTTTGGGAATTTGAATGGAATGGTTTTCAGTGCAGAAACAAAATTATCCAGTTGAGCCAAGACTCAAATATTTTCAAAAATTGTTAGTGGTGGTTCTGTTTCTCACACGAGGAAACGTTTTAGCTTTGTGAGTATGGGGGTTCGAGGTTTGGTTTTTGGTCTGCAGTTCCTGTAGTCTCCATGCCTACGATGCTGCTGTTTTTCAGTATTTATCGTAATGCACGTCTCAGGATCCATTGCTATTGCCATTGACTTTGGGTACCAGAACTGAAACCAGCAACGGTTTTATTAGCCTTGCCTTTCATGGTTCTTTGACTAGCTTTTAAAAGTCATTTTCTCACTAAGAAATGGCAGCAGAAATATACTGAAATAGCTTTGTGGCTGACTAACCATTTTGTCTCTAATATGGTGTGGGGATCAGTGGGACTTTGGAGTTTTGTAACTGATTTCCACTATCTGTCGAGTGCCATCACACTTTTGTGAACCCTCTGACTTTGGAGAAGAAGAGACTGTTGACATGGTTGTGTTGTGTGTTGGGGGATACTTTGGGAGCATAAGATCAGAGTTTGACAAAATAGAAATGCACCTTTGGCTTAATTTTGTGTGAGAGTAGAGGCTGGGAGGATGGTGCTGAGGTAGTGCTAGGGTGTAGGAGGGAAGGAGTACAGTTAGGAGGTTGTGAAGTTAGGAATGCTTGAATGCTGTCTGAAATTCAAGCATTAAGTATAGAAATT